GGATAACATCGCAACATATCTATAATTAGTTGAAATTTAAAAGTAAACCTATCAGAAAAAAAAACTTAACCACTTGATATCCACTCGGTTTTATACACGTGCAATGCACGTGGATTGCACGTGGTTAAATACTATGATTAATTATTTTTGACTTATTTTCTAACTACAATTTGTTCCTCAGTACCACTTTAATAGTTTGTGCTCACTTTTATCTCTAAATTTTAATATTGCGATTATTTATTTTCTTTGATGTCAGTTTAAATGGGCGACACCCAATTTAAATTTTCATGTTGATATTTGAATTTACAAAAATAAATATAATTTGAAGCTAATTTTAATTTTTATATTATTTTGACTGGCATGAAACCAAGCTTTACTTTAGAAAGTATAGTGTTGCAAAAGTTAAAAATATTAAAATAGTGTTATACAAGAAATGTGAATATTTAAAACCAATAAGACAAAATGATTGATTAAAAGTATTCTAAAATGATACAAAAGAGAATATGAAGTTTGTCCCTAATCATTGATAGACTTCATAAAAAATTATAAACTAAAGATGAATGCTAACTCTAGTATATTTTCATATGATAAAAGCATTCATATAAGCATATAAAAGTACTAAAAAAGTTCATGAAACTCCCTTCTAAAGATTCCTAATTTCACTCAAAATAATTAAATTATTCTATAAAATATTCAGAAAATATTGTCTTTTATTCATTCTGTTTTATTTTTTATTAAGCTAAGATCAACCCTTCTTCGCTTTTATCTTTTTCCCGGATAATTTTAGAGTAGCGTCTTCATCATCTACATCGATTGTGACATCAGGCTGGACGTTGATGTTAAATAATCAAACAGTCAAATATATGGTGGGGGTGAGGTTGACTAGAGGCCGCTCACTTCTCCGAATATCTAGTTTTGAGTTGAGTAGCTTCAGCCAAGCTTTTTTGCCATTATCCAAGATAACATGAGTTTTGCAGATAAAGCGCTACCTAGTGGATAAGATATTTACCTAGAGCTTAGAAATATATCTACTATGGCACAGACGATTCAAACTATCCACACCAAAGTAATATTTGCCGCACGTTATTTCTTCCCAATGAACAATGGTAGAATCCATCCACCTCCACATCCAACAGAATTTTCCTTCCCTAGACAAGGATCTTTCTTTTCAAGTTTGTAAGTCTTTTTTTTCCAAATTTGTTAATGAGAGGCTCTCTGTTCTCTTTCAACAGCTTACCTGGTCTAAGAGAAAAAACTAAATAAGAAACGCGGAAGTAATCCTCTTAATTTACAGCTTAAAGCATTAGCAATACTATGCTGAAGCTCCATATTATCTTCTAAGAGAATCACTGAGCTTTGGCAAAGTTAATTTTAAGACTAGACATATAGAGTCACAGCTACCAAGCAATATCTTAAGAGCAACCAAACTCTTATCATCACTAGCTATAGCTATACAGAAAATAAGTAAATTCCGTCTAGGATGCTACAATAGTTTTTTTTTTCCAAAATCTAATTCGAGTGCATGACTTGTTGGCAATGATGGACATTTCAATTATAGGTTGAAACTTGGAAACAAACAGCGGTGCCAAATAATATCAGTACAAGGTCATGGCGACAACAAAACTCAGATGAACTATATTTCAACCCAGATTTAAAAAAAAAAACTAACGAAAATACTAAAGACGTCTACAATGTTAAGTGAAAATACAACGCTAAAGTTATACATAGACTTCTGTATAAAGTCGGGTCATGAGCTCCTCCACATTAACTGGGTATATATGGATCGGTCCCTGGTAGGAAACAGGTCTTAGGGTTCATCGCAGCAACCATGTGCTTTAAACTCTGCACTGTCCATAACAAAATGCGATCACTCTATTAAGCATAATAATTCAAGCTGGATTTCTTCTTGGCTTGAACTTGAATGATGCCTTCATTGAAATCTTCGTGCATCACCTGAAATAAAAAAATATCACAGCAAGATTGTAAATATTAAGTCACTTTCTCTATCACGATCCATGCAAGTGCAAATGGCCATTTACATATGACTAGGATTTTTCTCAATTTTTTTCCTAGGATTACCAAAATAAGAGAAAAGATAATAAAGGGAAGCTTGCGGTTTCCATTGAACTTCAATAAAAATTCACATATACTAACTTCTAGGTGTTAAAATTCCTTCATACTACCAAAAACCCTAAGTTATGATGAGGGGGGAGGGTTATAATTTCATATCCTAACACGCACCGTAGGTTAAGTACGATCTTCGGTGCCCTTTTCATCAGTGGAGTAGGACAAACAATCGAAATGAAACAAGTTAATATAGCTGTTGGCAATGATGGACAGACCTGAGTGATGACTTGTTGTCATACAAACTTGTGGTGTTTAGGAGTGCGGTAAAATTGATCAGATAGAGCTCGAAACTGAACCAATATGCAAGAAACAAGTAAGATCAGTTAACAAGAGGGAAAAGTTAAAATAGTCAACATGAAAAAAGAAGATTCTGGAGCACTTCAGGTTAGACATCTTTGATATAGGATCAAGAAGTAATGCATAAGGCAATTGCGCTGGACATGTTAGCTCAAGCCAAGGAGTTTTAACATGAGTGTGTGGGTGCAGACATTAAGTGCCGTGCATCAGTAAATGTCATGCATCAGTGTCTCAGAAGCAAAATGTAGAAATTAGAAAAGAGATTAATAACTTCACATTAAGTATGTTGTCCAGTGAATGTCATGCGTCAGTGTCATGATTAACATAAAGAGTTATATAGTTGTGATTTATAGACAGAGACATAAGTGTTCTATGCTAGAGCAAACTAAAGTTTCAAACATGGCAACATAGTTCGCGTGTGGGTGCAGACATGCATGTTATTTTTGTAATGATTAATTCATTATAATATCATCTTAAAATGAGGAACACTGCAAAGAATAAGCTAGGAACACAGCAATCATAGCCAGCACACCCTATATAGAAAAAGACAAAGATGTCAGCAAGAATTTACCATTAATTTTAAAGAATAAGAAGATAAAAAGAAGTGAAAAGTCACCTCTCTATTCTAAAAAGAAAGAAAGATAAGTAAGCTTCAACTGGGACTGTATAATAGAAGCCCTTAATTAATTTATTTTGCAATAAGCAATAAGCATACCTCTTTACAGATGTAACAAGGTCATGAGAAGCAGTGCTTTCTGGATCCAATGCTCCACTTGCCCAACTGTAAAACGAAATACGGGATTTTCTACTAGTGAAAAGCCAACACCCTTTGCCAAATTAAAGATGTATAGACACATTTATTGTTGCAAATGAAAGGGTAAAATGCCCACTTCAAAAGAAATTCAAGGAACATCATGCCAACACAATTGGAAAATAAATGAAAATAATATCAACATATCATAAACATACATGGTAGAAAGAAAAGAAGATACTAACAGAAGTGATCACATAAACAATAAAAGAGAACATTCATATGCAAGGTGTGCAAAAAAAAACTTGGCAAAAAAAGAAAAAAAATACTACCAGGACAAATTTTAGCTCCTTCTTTTGGAAAAACTATAACACTTAACTAAAATTGTAGATAACACATATTAACAGGTTCGCAGGTTCATTTGCCTAGAATAATAGTGATTCGCCAACATGCAAAGTTTCATTTAGGTTGGGAGTCTTGCGCAGGTTCATTTGCCTAGAATAATAGTGATTCGCCAACATGCAAAGTTTCATTTAGGTTGGGAGTCTTGGGACACTAGAAATACTAGAATAATAGTGATTCGCCAACATGCAAAGTTTCATTTAGGTTGGGAGTCTTGGGACACTAGAAATAAACCGCCACCCCGACATTTTCCTTTTAGACTTTGAACTTCGCAAGCTTCAATACAAAATTACAATAAGTACTAAACCCTAGCATACGCTTGATACTACAAAATTATTATAAAAAAATTACCAAGGAAGCATCTTTCTCCGTGACGCCGTGATCTAAATCATCCTTCTCCTCATTTTCAAATCCATTCTCAGACATCTTAATCTCCCCCTACCTACAATAAAGCTGTTTGTGGACAAAAATCACGAAATTCAGTTAAATGTTTTGGGGGAAATTGAATCAGAATCCAAATCGTACAAGGTGAATCAGATGAAAATACAAAATTCGGGTAAGAAAAAGTAAAGAAAATTTGAGATCGAAATGAGAGAGGAAAGAACCCCTAACCTGTAATCAAGGAGATTTCTAAAGTTTTCGACGCTTGAAGTTTGCCACTCGGAAGTGAACTCAAAGCAACGATATTTGTTGTATCTCAGATCTAGGTACCTCAATGACGGCAGCCGGAGAACTACCCTAGGAAATTTCCCGGCAAATCGATTGTTGCTGACATTGAGCTCGAAGAGGAGCTTCAATCAATCGAACTTTAGGGGGATCTTGCCGCTGAACCAATATTGAGTTTGAATTTGGGGAAGAAGTGATCGAGCTGGGGATCCGGGTTTTCTCTCAAAAGCGAGAGAGGAAGAGGGATTTGGAGATAGGGATTTGAGGGCGGAAACAAATAAATTGTGGGGAATGGATAAAATATGGTGGGAATTTTAAATTTTATTTTTAAAAGGGGGCAAGTATCCTAGACGGAAAATTCGCTCTAGGTTACATGCTAGACGAAAATTTTATCATAGACGAAAATTTTCGTCTAGGATGTTTGGCCCATTTTTAAAAAAAATTGAAAATAAAATAACCGTCTAGTGTGCTATCATAGACGGAAAATTCCGTCTAGAATGTTTTATTCTAGACGAAATATTCTAGACGAAATATTCTAGACGGAAATTTTCTGTCTAGTTTACTATTAAACTAGACAGAAAAAAATCCGTCTAGAATATCTTGTCTAAGATATTTGAATTTTTACTAGTGATACCATGATGACCATAGTCATGATTTTTTTATTTGAACCAAACACTAGAAAGTGAGGGAATCTATTCACACATCAATTGTTTTCTTATTTTTTCAAGTTTAACCAAACTAAGAAAAGTGGTGGAAAGTACTTTCACCCCATATTTTCTGGCGAAACAAACATAGAAACATTTTCCATGAAAGTGAAGGAAACACAAAAAAGTGAAGGAAAATCATTTTTGGAATATGAAAGAAAGCAACCAAACAACCCCAAAATTGATGGATTTGGTTTCCACCCAAAAAGTACACCCCCCCCTAAGCAATTTTTTCTTAAAACCTAGGGGTGAAACAAACACAAGAATTATAGAAACCCGTGGAAAAAAAATTCCATTTTCTAACATTATCAGTAGTTTTCTAAGCTTTTCCATGATTTTATACGTGAAACAAACACCCCCAAAATAGGAATCTATTAGTAAATAGGTTGGGCTTTTATGGGACCAATATTGGATATATAAACATAGTTAACTAATTTAAAAGCAGATAGCCAAAAATCTGGCTCACTCTTAAGCATCCACTGTGTGTCCGATATGGAAAAGCACACGATTAATTGAAGTATAATGAGGCATGAGAGGCTATTATTTCTTATGAAACTAAGATAAATAGTAATATTGTGGAAGGAATCGAAGATATGAATCGTAATGTTACAGTAAGGTTGTAAGTTCTATAAACGTTTGTTTGCGCATGTTGCTAAACTATACATCTTCTCCTTTGACCAAGCTAACACTCTGGGTGGGGTGAATGAATGGTGAGGGAAGAGGTGAAAAGATGGGATTTGGATCCTCTCCACTATAAAAAATGTAGTGGAGAGGTCATTGTAACATCACCATCGTTGATATGTTTAGTGAGTGATTGTGATTCATTCTATATCTAACGTTCATCGTACCCCCATTAATTACACTATTTCCCTAATTTACACTTACAAAGCAAATCACAACTACCCACTAAACAAATTAATGGTTGCGATATTGCAGTGGTCTCTCCACTATATTTTTTGTAGTGGCGAGAATCTGAATCCGAAAAGATGCACCTTGTTTGAGAATTTTTTTAAGAGGAACGTAGGGTAAGCGAGGTGACAAATTTCACCTCCAGCAACCTATCATCAATTAATATGATTTGATTTCCCCTAAATTGAGGTACAACCCTTCAAAAATATGATTCCAACTACTAATATGATTAAAGTTAGAATAGACTTAAGTGGGTAGTAGCTATTGTCCATCAACTATTTATTCCACGGTTTTGCTTTGAGATTCGTCCTACACGTTTAGGTTATTTTTAAGAGTTGTGCATGTAGGCAATAAAAATTACCTTAACTCCCAGCAAAGAAGCTCAAAACTGACAAAAACACTCTAATATCTCTCAAACCGTAACGAATTTGGTGAAATAGACAGAAGAAAACCGAACCCTTTGGGGTTTATTTGGTCGGCTCCGTCTCGTCGAGATAGTCGGTTTTCATATATAATTCGTCCAATTCCGACTTACGGTTTGAAAGTTATGACCTGTTTTTCGCAGCATGTTCTGAAGTCCGCCTGCAATACTGGACTTCGCCTGAACATTAAAGTTTGTCTGTAATGCTAAGTTTGTCTGACAACTTAGCTCATCTGAACTGATTGAAGCTCGCATGACAGCTTCGCCTACAAGGTTCGTCATGCAGCGAGACTCAACATCAAAAGACGAGGTTCACCATGCAGCGAAGCACATCAAAAGACGAGGTTCACCACGCAGCGAAGCTCGACATCAAAAGACGAGGTTCGCCATGTAGTGAGGCTCAACATCAAAAGACGAGGTTCGCCACGTAGTGAGGCTCAACATCAAAAGACGAGGTTCGTCACGCAGCGAAGCTCGACATCAAAAGACGAGGTTCGCTGTGTCACGAAGCTCGACATCAAAGTTCATCATTGTGGACAAAGCTACTCTGGAAGATGAAGCTCGTCATTAGAAACGAGGTTCGAAACTCGTCATTGGAAACGAGGTTCGAAGCTCATCATTGGATATGAGGTTCGGAACTCACCACCAGACGTAAAGCTCATTAGTGAAGATGAGGCTCGTCAAAAAGAAATTCACAAGACTTGCTACGCTATCGAAGACAAAGTTTGTTAGTGAATACGAAGCTCGTCAGACGACGTCAGTGAAGACAGAGTTTGCTATACTGCAAAGTTGGCCTTAGAAAACAAACCTCGCCGTATATTGAGGCTCGTCCAATCTAACAAACCTCACCATGCAGCGAGGCTCATCGTCCATAAAAGATCCAGTTGTAACGGCTCCGAAAACCCAGTCAGCCATGTGGGCTAAATCTAAGGAGTCAGTTACGCCACGACTCCACGATTTTAGCACATCAGTTAAGCCATAACTCCATAATTTCAGTGCATCAGTTACGCGCTAAAGGCCTATAAATAGCTATGAGTAGCTATAAGGGGGGGGGGCAGACGAGGAGCAGGAGAGACAGAGCTTTAGCATTCAAGATTGAGATCCGAACCTCGGTTCTAACAATCTAATCCATCAACAAAGTCTGATTCTCTTCTCGAGTTGAAGCGATCTTTATTTGATCGTCAACGGGAAGCAAGCTCGACTCAAGCATCGAGTAAGGCATCCTTTCGCCACCAAGAAACCACTTTTAAATAAAAGAGAAGTCAAATTAATATTCTCTTCCTTTGTAATCGAGAGACTGAGTGATTGTAAGTGATTCGTACTAAGTGATCGAATCCATTTCTTAAAACAAGAAATCAATCGAACTTTAATTTTTCGACTCTACACTGCCTTGATATATGTCCCAGGCTAACATGAATCTGTAAAATAGAATAAAAAAATTGGTGAAGAAAGAGCTACTATCATCCTAAGGTTACATATACTTTACTCCGTCTAATAAAACTGAAATTCCCTACATGCATTACATTATATATTTTCTTTTTTCTTACCTTAACCCTTCCGCCTCCCCTGTTTCCGCTAGTCGTGCATCCTAAGGGCCTGTTTGGTTATTTCCTAAAAAACCAAGAAATAGAAATGAAAACCAAGAAAACTCAAAAAGTACAATTTTATCCATTTCCATCCCTAAAACCCACCCACAATATCTAATAAAATATTATTTTTATCCAACAACTCATCCACCATATCTAATAAAATATTATTTTTATCCAACAACTCATCCACCACATCCACCACATCCACCATGTTATGGTCATTCACCGTAACAAAACAAAAGTACATGAAGAATACATGCATAAGCCCAAGCGAGCTATGGTCCGAATCGACTTTAGAGGCTCAAAAGCACAGTCAGAGCCAAGTCCCTCGACTAGACGAGCCGACAAGCCTTAGCACAGTCAGAGCCAAGTCCCTCGACTAGACGAGCCGACAAGCCTTATTCTGACCGACAGGTCATCATGACTGACTCGAAGAACGGGATCAGTCGTTCCCTCGCAAATAAGACGACTCCTCGAGCAGATGACTCAATTACGCGCCCGACCCGAAGTCCACTCGACTGTCGGGTCGCCAAATCATAACGATGGCTCACGGATCAACCCGCCTTGACTAAAAGGATAAGATCCGACTGGGATCACTTCAAATGTTACTCGAAGCTACAGCATTGACCACTCCCATCAATATATATGCTCTGACAAGGATCTCTGGCACGAGCCGCTTATTCGACTTACAAGCCATTTCCCAGAAGATCGCCATAATGCTTTACTGTGCACGAATGATTTCTCCTCCAATTGCCAGCCGCCACCTGGAGAAAGGACGACCACACAGCCGACCTACCCTATACCATGCCTACTCTGACAAATCCAGAGCACTGAGAAGACTTCTCTTCCCTGACACCGAGTGACTTCCCTCCCAGTCGCATGCCGACACCTGGAGGAAGAAAGATGACTCAGCAGCCTGCCTGTCCACCTTTCAAACCGCCTCTTGTGCATAGTCAACAAAAGCTAAGGGTCAAGCTCCCAGAGGCAAGTGGGCTATAAAGGGAGGTAAGAAAGGTAAAGCCAAAGAGGTTGGCAACTTCTTCTTGCACCTGAGCTTTACTCCCTTTTGTATTTTTAATACTTCCAACAGTTAAACCCCCTGCAAGGACCTCAATGGCCCAGGGGCCTCTCTACAAACCCTCCCCAAGTCCATCAACTGACTTGACCGTCGGAGGTACCACGGAGGAAACTATCCTCATATGCATGTGCAGGCTATCAGTCCACCCCGCGCGCTCAGAATCGGGCATAGAGTCGGAGGAGGAGCCGGCCCCAATATTCATCCTCTTCTTCTTCCCCACCGACGCCAGGATCGAAACTGCATCCGACTGCGGGAAACCCCCATCGACTGTTTGTTCACGAACATCAACATACCATATCTAATAAAATATTATTTTCATCCAACAACTCATCCACCGCATCTAATAAAATATTATTTTCATCCATAACATTACTCAACTCATCTCATTTCATCATTTCAAATCACTCACATCATCCAATAAGATGGTGACAACTCATCTCATCTCATTAACATTTCATTTCCACTCATTTCCTCCCAAAAAGCTAGGAAAACAATTTCCTTAAGTGTGAGTCACATCATCCAATAATATAATGATAACACATCTCATCTCATCTATTTTCTTATTTTTAAGAATGAACCAAACAA